TTTTTTTAGTCAATATAAAACCTTTTGTTTCCTTATTTTCTCTGTTTTATTCATCCCAGGCCTTCAAAGGTGAGGGATCTACCTGACTCTGTGTGCCGGGTCTTCCTCGACAAGATGGGAACAGCCAACCTGACCTCCCTGCCTCCTCATGCCCCGTCACGCCTTGCACTTGCCGAAAGAGCTCTGCTTTGCCTGCCCAGTGTATGCACGCGCACACACACACACACACACACACACAAATGTGTGCCAAAAAATAAATAAGCTCAATTTGAAACGTTCGTCAGTATTTTTACTGTAGGAGTCACTCGGTGACATCTTCCTGTGGATTTTCAGGGAACAAATATCTCCGGATTAACCAGATCGGACGTATCGAGGCTCGGTCTGCTCCTGTGTGAGCTGAGACCCTCCACGCTGCTCCTCATGGCCCCTGAAGTGATGAAGTTCAGCCTCCAGGCCGTGGCTTCCTGCGAACACATTCCTCAGCCTCACAGGGCGGATCTGGTCACACTGGTCAACCAGGTGTTTGGGTAGGTCCGGCTCTCAGTGGATGCTGGGAGCTGCTTCAGAGGAAGCAGGGTCTGATGTAGGATCATTTGCCGCCTGCAGGAGCCCTTCTAATTGGTCAGCTGAAACCATGGAGACGCTGGGTCCCCTTGTTCTGTTGGATGATAACCTCACCTCCGCTTTGCCAAATAACGTATGCATCTGCTGTTTTCCTAACATCCTCACGCTCCTGTGATATTATTTGTGGAAGGTGTTATATAAATAAAGCTTACTTACTAACCTTCTCTAGTCCTCTTTGCTTCAGTGTTAACATTTTGGCACTTAAAAGTAACGTGAGCTATTTTTTGTTTTCACTTCTCTGTGCGTTTTTAGCCGTGGATGAAGGACGTTCTTGTCTTCCTGAAGCCGCAGCTTACCCAGGTTTCAGATGCTTTTAAAAAGAAGATCTTTGATCTCATCACCACCGCCACGTCAAGCACAGCACGTAAAAGGCGAGCAGGTAATAAACTAACATTACCCACAAGAACCTCTGCACCCTTCAAACCCTTCCCATTTCACTGACACAGGAAGGTACAAGCGAACGCTTTGAAAATGTTTTTAGTAAATCTTATATTTGAAAGTCTATTTGGGATTCCTGGTTCTGACATAATCTTCCATCACCCACTCGTACATGGACATAAATCAGTAATAAGGTCAATGATTTTTACTTATTTTTTTACTTTTCTCAGTTAATAGTGATATATTCAGCAGTGGCACAGAACCTACAGAAGCAGTTATTGAAGAACTGGGAGAGGACAATGTGTTTTGGACACCAGCGCAGCTGGATCTGATGTCCAACAGCACATTCCTGGCTGCTGTGGACACACTGGGATCTGTCACTGGTTACAGCTCAGACCAGCTGAAAGTGCTCTATAGAAAGGCCGTCGAGGTAAAGTTATCTAAATGGTCTCAGTCGTGTTCGTTTGAGAATTTGTGACTTAATTTTAAGTTTCATGTTGTTATTTTCTTATTTATTGTACATGCATTGAAATACGGAAAATTAGACATTTTCACTAGTTGTAATATTTAATCTTCTCTACCAGAAATTATACAAGTAGCACGACATTTTATTTAAAATGAAGAACTCAAAAACAGAATTAAGGCTTGATCTACTGCAATAAGAAAGTATTGTTCGCTCACTGCGTTCAAATAAAAATATAATTGTGTTCATGTGCTGCAGGTGTTTGGCCCGGTGTCAAATATGACTGAGGGTGACGTCGTTCAGCTGGGGTGCATAACTCAGAGCTTCTCCAACTCTGAGCTGGAAAAGCTTCCCTTGTCTCTGGACAGTCTGAGCGAAATCAATGCCTGCGGCTGGAAAGATTCACAAGTGAAGTATAGAAACTGATCTCCACTCGGCTGCGACTACGCGACACCACTACACTAACCACAACGCGGCGTGTGTCTCGACAGCTGGCGTCGGTGTGGAAGGGCGTCGCTGAACATAACAACCTGACGGCGCCGCTGCTGGGATCCACAGAGATGGTCCAGCTGGGCCGGTTCATCTGTGGCCTGAACGCCAGCGAGATCAGCCGGCTCAGCGCGGGCGCCTTCAGGTCGGAAAACAAAGCTCCTTGTACTTCCACCTCACTATTACGCACAGCTTTTGTGTTAATCTGTAAGATTCTGTTGTTTCATTTTGTTTTCAGTTCATTTGTTTTTATTGATGCCTGCTTTTCCGTGTGCGAAGTGAAACATTGCGAGGCTCACTTGTTCTTGTTGTCTGAGGTCCATGGTCTTAACTGGCGTATTTTCGACGCAGCGACGCGGTGGGCGCCATGGACGGTCTTCAGTGTCCTGTTGAGGCTTTACGGCAGCTGAAAACCGTTGCCGTGTCTGCATTTGGACTCCCCCGCAACTGGACTGAGGCTGAGGTTTCTCACCTGGACTCTATCATTGGTAGGATTTATTTATCTACCTGCTAACCACTCAAAAGCCGAAGCAGTTTAATTCTTACTCATCGGTTTGTGTCCCCGTCAGCCGGTTTGAATGGATCTGAAATGGCCTCGCTCAGCCCTTCCGTCTTCCCATTCATCAGCAAGAGCTGCATCCCCCAGATTCCTCCTGAAAACTTGGCTGTAAGTAACTTCAACTGATCGGCTCTGTGATTGTGCTTTTCCAATACCAGCTGAGAGCCGAGACCAGCGACACGTCGAGCTGTGGAAGGGGTTTTGGTGTAAATGTGTTAAAACCACCATAAAGACAAGCGCGCTTTCGGTGATGCGTTTTAAAGTGGTAAAACTTTAAAACTAAAGTGAACTAGACAAGTCGTCGCTCATAAGTTCAAAATCTGGACAATCCAGAAACATAACGCCAGTTCGGTAAGTCAGAATCACTTGAGCTTTTTTGTCTCAGATTATTTATATCTAATAATTTTACAACCGCACATCATTTACCATGGAAAAAATAACAGGGATTTTTTTTTTTTTTTTTATCTTCTGTCGTTTAAATTGGAAACTATTTTAGGCTCAGACTCAGAGTTTGATATCGTCATCCTGCTGTTTCCGTGCTCTATATTTTCAGGTCCTCTGAGATAAACTTTAAATTGGTACAATCTGAGCAGACGTTAATTGAGCCTTGCTGGTTTCCCTTCAGGTGCTCTCTGTGGCTCAGCTGGAGGCTCTCGGTCCTGACAACGCCGCCATGGTGACCAGTGAGCAGCAAGCAAAGCTCACAGCTGAACAACTGAGCATCCTCGAAAAGGCGGCCATTGGTGGCCAGGAGGAACAGCGGGAGGTCCAGACTGCAGAGTCAAGTAAATAAATAAATTTAAAAAATGAGAATCAGATAGTTAATCCTGAAATGTTTCTGCTGAAGTTAAGGTACATCATCCAAATCCTGATTAATCTACACTAGTTTGAGTAACGGGCTCAAAATGAGACTCGATTGATTCAGAATCATTGGTTGAGTGGTAAAGGTTGTCTGAGATATTTCAACCACATTTCATACTTCTGTCCAGGAGCTGCTGCGCTGAGGCTGGAAGGACTCTCCACCTTCATGAAGCCTGCTCTGTTTCTCTTTATTGGATTCTTTCTGCTGTAAAAATGGATTCATCTCATCCTCCCGCAAAATTAGCTGGATCCTCCACAGGGGTTATCCTTGTTAAGCACTTTCATCACAACATATATATTTGATTTAGTCTTGATTGTATTTAAGCCTTAGATTATTTAAACTGTAACTGGGGGGCTGTGGGTAAAGAGTCATTTATAAAACAACCTTGTAAACTGTTTAAGGGTTATGGCTAAACTTCAAATATTTCAGCATGTTTTACTAGAATGGATCTAGAAGTTATCTGTCTCTTCTTATTGGATTCCTGCTATAAGTGATTACATCCCGCAGAAACACCAGCCCATGTTTTTGGGGATTTATCCTCACAAAGCACTTTTCTGTACTGTGTGATTCTTCCAGATTGGACCTGATTTTAACTAAGATTTATATCTTTTAGACTCCATGATTGTAAGCGTGTGGCTAGAGTAAGTGAGTTTTATTTGATGACTTAAACTATGTACTGATTATTGCTAAGCTTTTATTAAATGTATATTTTACTAGAACAAAGAGAAATATTGGATGTACAATTTATATTTTGTTTGGAAAACCACACCTGTTGATGAAATGTTGGAAAGTAAATAAATTCATTAAAGTACCTAAGCAAAAAAAAAAAAAAAACATTTCAGGTTTATTTCATGTAAAAATGTTTAAGTTAGAAAGTATTGTGTTGATGGAAATAAAAAAAAATGGCATTGACATTTTTGGTGAAAGAACAGAAAATTTTATTTATTGAACCAAAAATCAGCCTGACCCACTAAATTAAATTGACGAGAAAGAACTTAAACCAATACATTTATAGTGGCCGTGTTTATGGCAATTAGATATTGTGGCTAAAAATAAATTTAAAAAAAACCTAAATCTGTTAAATCATAACCCAGTTAAGGTTTCTACGCACAGAATTCTTTGGTTTGACGTTGAACACCGACGTGATCTATCAGTAACTACAGGTACAACTTAATTTGTGCATATTACTCATTTTAATGTTTTACACATGCCTCAAACTAAAGAAAAACGATGCTCATCATTTGCTAAGAGAAGCATAAAAAGTAGACAAACATCAAATATACTTTTTCTTTACAGTACTCTGTTCAAGCAAGATTTACAGAAACATCTGGTTGTGTAACAAATACATCATTTACTTCCATTTTCAGCTCATTGAGATATAAATCAGTTCATTTTACAGAAAGTACATTCAATTTAAAAAGGGGTTCAAAGCCGTTTGACAGTTTCACACAGTAAATTGGATTCGAGTCACATTCCAGAGCACACAGCTTGTTTTATTTATTTTTTTTCAATGAACATTTAAAATATAAATTATTTCTTGTCCTGTCACACCAATACATTTTATTTTTATACAGAAAACAAAGCTGAAAAGGAAGATTTTTACCGCCTGTGAGGGAAAATAAAAATAAAAAGGCTCCAGTTTGATCTAAAAAAAATAGTTTCATTTGCTAATTTTATAATTCTGGAGAAATCTAAATTGAGAATGGAAATTTTCTTCATCCCATATTAAAAAAAAATTAACTCTACATGTCTAAAACATTGAGGATTTTTTTCAAAGGTGATTTTTTTTTCTTCAGCTTGTATTCTTATCCTGTTGATTATTCAAAACAAAATAATCATTAAATGCAGTCACTGCTGTTTTGACCCCTGGACCTTTAGAGATTGGGGTTTGAAACTGGACCTGCTTTTAAGCTCTGACATGCTTTTAAAAAATATGTTTACAGACAAAAGATTACAGACTGCTTCAAAGAATAAATTTAGTGTACAATAATTCAGACAAGAGCTGACATTTTGAAACCGAGGTGAATAAAATACTGAAAAAAAAGTGATGTACCAAAAAGAAGCTAAGTTCAGAAAAGTTAAATATTTAACATGTAAAATGTCCAGAATGGGACAAAAAAAAAAAGTCTGAAAACCTATACCTTTGAGTCTGGAATTTTGCAATGGAAAATGTATAGAAACTCAGTTTTAATACGTCACAAAAATGTAAACAAATCATCTACAGTTAAGTTACTAAACTCAGAACAAGTTTTGGAAAATGATTTTCAGAAACTGAACACAATTCAAACCACTTCGGTGATTCTTAGCACAAGATTTTAGAGCGCGCTTCTTGATGAATCGCCTCAGTCACCTTAAAAATGACTCGAAACAAAAATTTCATCAGTAATATTAAATGTCAAGTGAAATTGCTTTCATGATCACAGCAGGATTGAGTTAATACAACAGTCACAGTTTTCTACAGGCACGTGATTAATGTGAATGAGTCAAAGCAGGGAAACGGGAGGTTAAAAATCAGATCAGTATCCTGATGAAACGGAAAGTAAGCAGCAGATCCTGAGAATCAGAGGGTTAAGGCTTTTCTCGAACAGTCAGAAACATTAAACTGTTTTACAAGCTTCAAATGAACAATCTTTGGTTGAATTAGTGCATAGATGCAGGGGCCCGGATATGAATGACAGATTCAAAAAAGGCACTTACAGATTTTCTTAAAATGAACCATTTGCTTTCCGTTACTCATTCTAGGTGGTCTTCCCTGCGTTTCTTGCGATAATAAAAGCCATCCCGTGAGTTCTGAAGTGTGTGTTGAGATCTGTCGCTTTTTCAAAGTGTCTACCGCACACCTTGCAGGCCAGCGCTCCGTCGTCATCCTTCCCCTGACCCGCCAGAGGCTGACCGGAGGGCGAAGCAGGCTCGGAGCCGTTCAGGGAGCTCCTGTCGTCGTGGTTCTTGGCGTTTCCAGCAGAGGGCGACGGAGACACGACGGGGCTCTGCTGGCTGTCGCTGAAAGCATCTTTGACCTTGTGGATGATGAAGCGATGGCGGGACAGGGAGGACGGGGATGTGAAGCAGGCGCCACACTGCAGACACTGCAGGCCGCCGCCCTCCGTCCCGCCTCGCCTGTGCTGGCTGATGTGCTCCAGGAACCTCGGCTTGTCCTCCGTGGTGAAGCCGCAGGGAGCGCAGCTGAACCCGGACTCGGGCTGGACGTACGGCGCAGCGGTCGATCGCACCTTCTTCGCTGAACTCGCTCTGTCCGTCGCCTCTGCGTCGTGCTCCGTCTTCACTCGACGTCTCCTGCGGGTCGCCAAGCCGCTGTCGTGCTCCGAAGAGCTTTCGGCTTCGTCGGCCCCCTGCGTGCAGAGCAGACACAAATATTCAAGTGTTTTCCATCCGGCTCGTCTCCAGCTTCGGCTTCCTGTTGGAGGTTCAGCAGTGAAAGCAGCTCACCAAGAGCGAGTCCTGTCCCGGGCTGGTCATGCTGTGTCTCATCTGGATGTGCCGCTCCAACATCGACCTGCTGCTGAACGCTTTCTTACTCTCAGAACAATATCTAAAAAATAACACAAACTTAGTGTTTATAGAAAAAAAAAAGCTTTTATTATGGTATAATATATTTTTTAAAAAGTTAATGTTGCCGTTTTGGTAAACTTTACAATCATTGCACTTCATTTTTATTATTGTAAACTTTAAAGTAGCTCTCACTGTGTTGGAACTAGAATGTAAAAATAAAAAAATAAAAAAAAAACTGTATATGATGATGATTTTAAATCTGCAAAGTTTGTGATGACAATATTAGTTGCACATCTTGAGCAGTCAATCCATGTCAGCTGTGGCGACCGACAGCAGTGAGAGGCTGAATCATCACATTAGTAAGCAAACCCAGCCTACGGCACCGGGAATACAATCATTTATTTTCAAACACTGCCTAGCTATATCAGTTTTCCACACATCAGTGTTGAAATGATGAGAATACAGTAGTAAAAAAAAATGTCCAGGCCTAATTGGAGCTCAAAATGTGCCACTTATCAAAATAAAATTGTACTTAGAGGCATTTCAATGTTTAATTTCAATTGCTGAAATGAATTCATTTTTTGACGAGTTTCTAATCTGATGATGCCGATTCTGAAAAATCTAAGATCTGTACACTAGCTTGTCATTTTCCACCACTGGCATGGAAAATTAAATATTAAATAAGCAAGAGATTTGGACCGAATAAACTCACTGGCAGCGGAAGCTGCGGTTCATGACTTTGTGTTTGTCTCTGATGTGGCGCCTCATGCTGGACGTGGTGGTGAAGGAGCTCTCACATTTGTTGCAGGGAAACTTCTTCAGAAACTAAGACATCATAGAAAATAATAAGCATACATCAGCTCATTTCTATTTTTGCCTAATCATTTCTAGTGCAAGCCTTCAGAGATGCGTCCCCTGACCTTGCCGTGCTGCTCGCCCATATGAGAAATGTATTCCTCCCGCTCTGTGAACTGGGTGTTGCACGAGCGACATTTCCACACTGTAGGCGCTTTCATCCTTTCGGGCTTCACTTTCTCCTTCCCCATCCATTCCTCCTCTGAGCTCTCGGGTTTTCCAGCTAAATGCGAGACGGCCGCTGGAGGTGAAGGCAGCTCTTCCTTCAACGTGGGAGCCTTGTGGGTCTGAAGCAGAGAAAGAGCCAAACATAAACCATCAGACAAAGGCTGGGGAAGAGTTTTGTGAGGTTACCTTAATGCGCACGGACATGTACCTTGAAATGATCCAGCAGGGAATTCCTCTGAGAAAACAGCTTGGTGCATTCAGGGCATTTGAACACATGCACCTTCTGATTGGCCAAGTGAGTGTCGAAGTGGGTGTACAGCAGCGGCTTGTGAGTGAAAACTGTGTCACACATGACGCATTTATAAATCAGCCTGTAAGGAGTCAGAAAACAGTCAGGAAACTGAAACGAACACGATTTGTTTAGAGAGCAGGTGAACATGAATGAACAGCGTTTACATGGCCTTTGCGTCCGTGAGGTCTGAATGCTGAGCTGAGATGTGGTTCTGGATGCTGGGGGCAGATTTGAAGGCCATGGGGCAGCTGGGGCATTTATGGAACATGTCGCAATGAGCCTGCTGGATGTGAGACTTCACAGAGTTCAGCCCCCCAAACACCACCAGGCAACTGGAACATCTGCACCGAGCAACGGGAACAGACTGAGAAACATGACTGGTGCAGAGGATTTTTTTATCAACACCACCACCCACAGTAAAGAAAGCGAATCCTTACACCTCCACTGGGACAAAAACAACTTTATGGGGGTTTAGAAGCACAGAAGTGCTTGCTTTTAATGCACCTGTAGCCGATGCGGCGGGAAAAGTGCAAGCAGCTCTCCTGCAGGTGCTTTTGAAGCAGCTGCTGCTTGGCGGTGCCGCCGCACTCTGGGCAGACGTGCGGCGAGGAGCCTTGGTGGATTCGCTGATGGGCTGCGGCGCTGCAGCTGTTGGGCAGGAGCATGGGAGGAGAGCACTCTGTGCAAGACTACAGGGAGCAGGAAGGACATAAATAAGAAATGGGTGAAAACTACGTATTTGACATAAAAATGCTCACATTCCTGTAGATTATAACTTGAGGCCAACATACTCATTTTAAAACGCTGGGTCGGTTTAAAGCTTCCAAATGCCCTTTTACACTTTCTGTCACACTAAAACTGCAAACATGCTTTAAACACTGCGATGAAACTGAAATGCAGCTTTTTACCAAGGAGTTTCTAAAGGCTGAACTTCTGAGTGATGAAGAGGAGAGCGCAAGCTGACGAGCAAAATGAAAGTGAGACTGAGAAAGTCTCACTGTTCAATTTTTGACACAGAAAAAGGTTTCTCTGGAGACGGTAGTGAGCAGGAGCAAGATGTATTCAATGGCTACTGCATTTTGCCCATACATATTTCATTAATAGTAAAAAAAATAATAATAATCTGTGTAAATATTTCATGTTTCAACATTAAAACCTGTGGCTTATAAACACGTGCAGCCTATTTATGTGCAACTTTTTTTTTCCAGTTAGTGGGTGCAGCTTATATTGCTTCCTTTTTACATTTCAACCATTCAACTTTTTCCATGTTCTGCTCATTTAATACATTCCCCCTATGTCTTTTGGTATGGACATATGCTGCTGTATATATAATATATTCAGCTTTTTGTGATCATCTTTGGCGTCACTGAAATGAATCAGACATCCCATAAATTGTGAAAAAATTATGCTACAAATTGTGCGCTCTTTCACAGCTACTTCCACGTACTTTCATCTAGAAACACCGTTAAAACTTCAAAATCTAGTCATATCCTTTGCCTACTTCTGCTTATTTCAGCTTTTTAATATATTTTACAGATTTCATAAAATTCCTCTTTGTGTTTTTGCTCTCATTTTGTTCAGTCTTCAGATAAAAAAGAAACACTGTCCCACTTGCTCCGAGGGTTCCCAATATAACCTTTTTAACTCACTCTCCAACGCCAATTCCGACCAACAACTTACTCCAGTCTAACGCCAACAACACAGAAGTGATTGTTTTTGGTTTCAACCATCTTATTACCTTCACTCTTGTTTATAAAAGTCCACATAAGTAAAACTTACAGTGCTTTTAGCCGGTTTGACCTCTTGGAAATGGTCAGAAACCTCCTCTTTGCTGCCAAACTGAGTCTGACACTCAGGGCATTTATTATTTGTGTACACCAACATATCCGTTTCTTTCTTGGATGGTGCAGCGTGATGTGCTGGCTTTAGAGCGACCTGGCCTAAAAAAAAAAATAAAAAAAAAAAAAAA